ACCAAGCAAGCGTGCAATGGAAATCTGCACTACAATGAAGTCTCACTTCCCCCTGGTAAAAAGGGCCGTCTAAAAACAGTGTAAAATCCAGAAAGGAAGGACAGGCCATGGAGAACAGCGAGCCCTGGTATGCTGATGGGCGGGATGTCAATTGCCAACAGCCCCTCTGGAGAAGTGTACAGTGTATCCTGAAATATCTAAAAAACAAAACTACAGAGCCTAGGGCACTTCCACTTATGGCCCTATAGCTTAGGAATATTAAAATCAACAAGAGACAGGCAACCCAAAATTTAGGGCTGCTGTGTTTACAAGAACCTCGAGTCCAGTACAACTTAAATATCCAGATAGAAAAAAATGGATAAAGAATTTGTGCTACTTACGTACAATGGAATATCACTCAACAATGAAATCAATGTCATCAGGCCTGTAGCAGCAAATTGAGTGGATTTAAGTACGATGATTCTGAGAGAAATATGTCACACAGAGTAAGAAAATTATCATAAGATATCACTAACAGAGGGAATGTAAACTTGGCTACACATGAACTGAATTACAAAACCGAACAGAGTCTAACATTTAGATTAAACTCTTATGCTTGCTTAATGTGAAAGTTGAATTGGGGTGCTGTAGAAACCCAGAGATTTAAATTAGCACAGATACCGTACCATAAACCAAATATATAATAGAGAATACGTACTCCTTAGTCAACGAAATAGACTCAACAGTGAGGTATCACCTCACACCTGTTAGAATGGGCATCATCAGAAAATCTACAAACAACAAATCCTGGAAAGGGTGTGGAGAAAAGGAACCCTATTCCACTATTATTGGGAATGTAAATTGATACAGTCACTGTGGAGAACATTATGGAGTTTCTTAGAAAACTAACAATAGAATTACCATATGATAGAGCAATCGAACTACTGGGCATATACGCAGACAAAACCATAAATCAAAAAGAGACATTCACCACAATGTTCATTGCATCACTATTTACAATATCCAGGTAATTGAAGCCACCTAAATGCCTACAGACAGACGAATGCATAAGGAAGTGGTTCATATATAAAATGGAATATTACTAAGCCATAAAAAGGAATGTGAGTCATTTGTAGAGACGTCGATCCATCTAGAGAATGTCATACAGAGTGAAGTAAGTCAGAAAGAGAAAAACAAATCTTGTCTATTAATGCATATATGTGGAACGTAGAAAAATTGTACAGATGAACCATTTTGCAAGGCAGAAATAGAGCAACAGATGTAGACAACAAACGTATGGACACCAAGAG